CCGGAACAGACAGAATAAAGGAAGTCACATGAATAAAATTGAGCTAACAATTTTACCCATTGTATTTAAGCATGTCTGATACTAAAGGTAAAGGTATTTCTGTGTTCGACAGTAGGGAGCAGTGCTCATCTCCTTTACTAAGCTGAAGAACCAGCTTTGTCAGATACAAATGTGATCCTGTGGCCAGCATTATTGCACAGAACGCTGTTTATCTTCCCACCGAAGTGGTACCTATTTATCTACTTGCATTTGCATGCTTTCGAACTGCTAGGTTGGCAGAAGCTGGGACTAGTGACAGGAGCTCACCCCATCATGCAGCATCCAGGCCTCAACCTGCTGATCTTGCAATCAACAGAGTCAGAGTCTTAACCACTTGAACAACTGCATCCCATGTCTGCTATTACTTCTCACCATATACACAGTCAGAGCAGTGAAATTTGTGAAGCAACTTCTGAATGTTCTTTCCATGTTTTTCTTCAAAGTACTATGATTGGAGAGCCCTGGAAATGTAATCCCTGATTGGAAACCAGATCTGTCAGTAGCAAAACTACTTTACCTGCCAAGCACCTGGCATTTTCTGTTCATGAAAGCCTAAAAGAAGGGCCAGGAAAGCATCTGGATGGGACAAAATGGAAACAGGTCACACTTACTTTTTTCACACTTTTTTGTACCGAAGAGATGCATATCTCCATGGTGATGCAATACTGAATTGATGTTCCCACTACATTTACAGCGATCGAATCTCAAAGGCATTTTAACTTGGTCTGGCATTCACACTGGTGCTGCTTCGCATCAGCATGGCAGCGCCTCATGGCTGGGAACGATCCCAACTATCCAGATCAATTCGCTAGCACATTCACACTAATGAAGATTCAGATCGCTCCAGTCCTTTAAAAAAAACATGAGTAGGTACATGGTACAAAATGCACCAAGTTAAGTGAGTTTTTCACCAACATGCCAGGTGCATTCGAGGCCAGTGTGAATGTTGTAAAAATAACTCAGTTTCACACTGGGTTATTTCCATAGTGTGAATGGGCCCCTAAGTGTCTGGACCAATCCACTTTGCCTGGCACCACTTTGAATTTGTCATCTTAGTTTGGAGGTATTCCATGTATCTATTGAAACAGAGATGAGCCAGCGTGGCGCAGTGGTCTGAGCATTGGACTAAAGCCTCCTGGATGATCTTGAGAAAGCTACACTTTCTCAGCCTCAGAGAAAGATAAAGGCAAGCCCTTTCTGAATAAAGTCATCATAAGTCAGAAATGACTTATACCAAGAAAACCCCATAAGTCAGAAATGTCTTGAAGACATACAATCATCAACAACAGCATTCAAATAGAGATAATCAATTCAGATTCAGGCTTCCATGACAGTAGGACTCTAGATATGCCAAGCTTGTTAAAATTTTGCTAACTCTGTGGTAACTAGAGTTCAGTCTACACATTTCTGTGATCGTAATGTTTTTATTCAAAAATTGTTCAGTTATTTCAAATAGAAGTTTAACATAGTGCTCATACAATTTATGTCTTGCTTTTTTTCCTAGCACGATTGAAGAAGAGGATGCAGTTCACATTATTCAGAAGTCGTGGGGGAATCACATAAAGAAAAGACTGTTTAAACTTCTGAAACACACCATTCGTGCAGCAGTAAGTCCTTATACTTGGTGATGTCTGACCTGATGTAATGGAGTCATTTTATTTGCCACTCATTTTTTCTTATCACACACTCTGCTTTCAAAGTGGGTCCTCAGTCTGCAGATATACTGGCCATGAAAATTAGGCTTGGGGATGGAGACAGTTTTGGTTGCTTTGGTGGATAACATATGCAGGAAACTGGAACTTGGTCCTGCTGGATCTCTGTGTGGCTTTCAATACCTTTAACCATGGTATCCTTCTGGGACACCTTTCTGAAATGGGACTTGGGACACTGTCCGTGTTTTTCTTGGAGAGGCAAACTCAGAAGGTGATGCTGGAGAACTCCTGTTCAAGTCTCTGGCCATTGGCCTGTGGGGATCCCCCATGCTGTTTAACATCTTCATGAAACCACTTGGAGAAATCATCTGGAGATTGGGGGTGCACTGTCACCAGTATATTGATGACATCCAACTCTGTCTCTCTTTTCCATCTGATTCCAAGAAAGCTGTCATGGTTCTGAACCAATTTCTGTTGTCAGGAATGGATTGGATGAGGGCAAACACACTGAAACTTAATCCAGGCAAGACAGAGGGGCTGCTGATCAATCATAAGGCAGATCAAGGAAAAGGGACTCTGCCTGTGCTGGAAATCTCAGGCTTGTAAAGTGAGGCTGCAGTTTATGCTGCCTACCATTCTTTCTACATGCAATCATATAAAGATTTTTAAAAATTCTGATATTCAGTGCAGTGTCAGACTTGAATAAAATGATCACATCATATACCGTATTTTCCGGCGTATAAGATGACTGGGCGTATAAGACGA